GGCCTCTTCCTCATGGCACTTGCACCAGTCCCAGTTTTTATCCTTTAGCTTCTTACCAATCTGTTCAAAAAGAACACCAGCTTCCCCACCCAGAATACCTGACATAAAGACAAACACTTGTCTGTACCTCTCTACCAAATCCCTGTAAAAGTTCAACTCAGAAAAATCAACCATTTGTTTCAATAGCATATGTGCTAGATAAAATGCAGCCAGATACTCTTGAAATGTCTTGTGAAAGAAGAAATACTCATGCTGTGGGTTAATCTTCCTTAAGCTGGCTTCCTTGAACACAAGACCAAGTTTGCGAGCTGCAAGACTCTTATGTGCAGATTCAAATTCTACCAACTCTTCTTCACGAAACGAAAATCGATCTTCTTTCAAGCATCTCCAAGCTAACTCTCCAAGAACTAGAAAACTGTCTTCAAAGTGCCTCATTAGAGCTTCGTCACTAACAACATCCGAATCATCAGCAGCACCATCGGCAGCACCAGCAGTTACCTTAAGATTGTGCTTTGCACAATATCTCCGTAAAAGGCAAATGACAATTATCTGATAAAGGTCAGTGCGACAAGATGGTAGATTTCCTTCATAACATTCAAACACGACACAGAGTAGGAGAAGATTCAATGGATTGCTTGGAAGTTCGTGCAAGTAAGAATTTTCCTGAATTGCCTTGATAAGCCGCCCTCCCTTTGGTTCATAATCTTTACCCAAATGTCTGAAGTGCTTCCTGATGTAATCATACGAATCTGCTTCTGTAAACCCTTTGATTTGCAAAAGAACATCAAAGTCCACATTCTGCCGCACTTCAATTCCTTTCTCTTGGCGAGAGGTAGCCAAGACAGAGCAAAATGGTAAAATTCGCCTGTGAAGTAACTTGTCCACAGATCTTTCTGCTGTTTTAGGAAGCTCATCTAGGCCATCCAAAATGATCAAAATTCTTTCCTGGTTATGAATATCCTTGATATAATGTACTACATTTTTCTTAGCATTTTGGTCCATATCTTCAGGGAGGAGCTGATTAACAATAGCTTCCATTACATTTCCATGAAAGTCTCTACATTTCAGCAACAGCACAAGTTCAAACAATGGGAAAGACGATTCATTTGGGATTGTTCCTTTTGCCCAGTCATGAGAGATTTTGAGGCAAAAAGTTGTCTTTCCAATCCCAGGGCTTCCCTCGACAAGAACCATGGCATCCTCACCTTTATTGAGAGTTCTGAAGATGTTAAACATGTCCACTTCATTACCTTCCAACACAAAGTCTGTTTTTCTCCTTGAAACAATTGACAATCTTGTATAGACATCGTCAAGGGCAAGCTTGATGGTGTTCAGCCAAAAGAGTGGTTTCAAAAGAGACCGTCTGTTGTACTCAGCACTGAGTAGTCTTCTCAACACAGCAAGTTCATGGTCTACACAAAATTGACCAAAACAAAATTAATTTCTCTGACTCTTAAAAATTGCTGAGTAAACTCACACTAGCTGGGAAGACCTTTTTAGCAACATACATCAGTTTTAGTCAAAATAACCAATTTATCATTATAGCAAATTAACAATTATGAGCAAATTTTCCTTCCCTACTCTGAGGAAGTGGAGATGTCTACGTGATTCAAGGTAGGTTTCAACCAACAAAACAGACTTTAAGAACTTTTCAGAAGTGTGAACATGGATATGCCATTTACAATTTGATAAAAAGAAATGATAGAAGAATGTTTGTGAACCTCAGAACACCTGAGATATTTATTGAATGCATGATATTGTGCTTCAAGGGAAACACCAACTAGGAATTAAAAAATTAAAATAAAAAGAGCAAAGTTACTAACTAGAATTTGGTTTTGACGTTTGTAATGTGTCTTTGACTATAATGTAATTCATAAGTATAAAACTTACAGTTAGAATAGAACCAAAGTGTTCCCGATTTTTAAAAAGTTTCACAATCAGATATAGTTTGCAATTTGTTTAAAGACTTTTTCAAGGGAAAAAAAGAGTTGTGGTACCAACAATTTATCAAAGAACTGGTTCTTGAAAGTAACAAACAGACCATTTTTAACCACCTAAGATACTGTAAAAAGTATCAGATTCATGTTATGAAGAACAATGAATCATGAACTTAAGTTTCCTTTCTTACCCTGAGCACCACTTATCTGACTGACAAGTTCTCTGTGTGTTGGGGTGGCTCCTGGAAAATGATCCTGACCATGATTATTTAAGGAATGCCTAGCATTATCTTGAAAGTGAAGGAAAGTACCAAGGTTAGCTCTACATGAGAAGGGCAGAAGTAATGTCATATCGTTTATTATTTAAAACACTTTACAGTAAAACGACTGAATTACGTGAATATGTACAATACAATAAGATGAAGATTAAAAATATATATTTATATAATAAGCTCAGTTATGCATGCATTCTGGTTGGTTCTCACTTATGATCTATTGGAGGACAGATGTAGATGACATCATCATTAAAACTCTTTTTAATTCTTTATTATATAAAACAAATAGATTCCAAGTTGCCGTGCATCTGTTCAGTAATAGATCACAGATGACGTCAAAATGTGGTAAGAACAAAAAAGTGGCACAGTAAAGTAAAAACTGTCGGAAATCGTCTACTTAAATCTGGCAACTGAGAGATAATTGCTGAGAAGGCAAGCAAGTGCAATTGCCAGTTCTTACCAGCTGAGTGAAAAAAAAAACTAAAACATTCATCATCTTATATTTTGACAATCATTAGATACTAATTCTAGCATATTAAGAAATAATTTGC